GGACGATCAACCATAACCGCTTCATAATTCTATTTCATTTTTAAAATGAACTTTTTTTTTATGTGAAGAAAGAAGAAAGGGAGAGGAAAGAGAAAGAAAGTCGAGGGAAAAAATAAGTTAGTAGTTTTAGTGAAATTTATATTTAAATTGTTGATAATTCTTTTTTTTCAAAAGTTAATCAATATATTGATCAGAAGCGAAGATAGTTACATCCTTAATTTTAACCAGACCATAAAATCAAAAAAACGACTCATAGTCGGGTACAATTAAAGGGCCTTCTTAGCCACCAAGTGGGTTACCCTATTACTACTCCGACCTACAAATCACACAGAGAATTCATTTTGAAGCTCCAAGCATCACACAACCTCCTCAAGAAGCACACATATCCGGCTATCCCTGGTATTAGATTGATTGACCTTATCAATAATCACCTTAGCATCCCCTTCAAATCGCACCTCCATAAACTCAGATGCCCTACACCAGAGAATAGCCTCCCGGAGGGAGAGAACCTCAGTAACCAAGGGATCATCAATCCCAATGAGCTGAACCCCTTTAGCCAGGCTAATCTCCCCATCCTGATTCATGACAATCATCCCACCAGCCGAATGAGACGCAACTTTGGTTGCCCCATCCCACATACATATTATAGGGAAATCTAGGGCCATCGCCATAGGTTGGATAGGAGATCGTTGAATCCTATCAACCGGAAAACTTACCCATTCCTGATACTGCTGGTGGAATTGCCGCATTAAAGCTGGGATACCAAACTGCTTGCCCTCAAAGACAACCCAATTACGTGAACGCCAGATCCTTCAAAGGACAGCAGTGACAGCCATAACCAGCTGAGGTTGATGGATGAGCATTGATGGATGAGCATCATCAACCTTTTTAGGACATGTGGGAAAGTGTGGCGAGGAAGCCACTGGCCAAGATACTCCAATCCCGCGTAATCTCATAAGGCCCTCGCCACTGGGCACTCAAGAAACAAATGCTCCAACGTCTTCGAATTCGCCCAGCAAACTGGACATCAAGGATGGACCTAGACCTTCTTTTCAATCAGAGCATCCGTCGTAGGGAGGAGACGGTTGAAGATTTTCCAAAGAAAAACCTTTAGCTTAGGGGGAATAGGAGCTGCCCACAACCGGATCCAGTTAGGCATGTCAATCTAACTAGAAACAACCGCCATCGCCCGACTTTTTTGTTCAGCATGACTGCCAAATGGTAAGCAGATTTAACAGTGAAAGACCTGTCAGGTGTACAATGCCAAGTTAGGTGGTCCTCAACATTACCTCAACATTACCACTGTCTGAGCTTCAAATCACACCAGCGTCCTATCCCCGGACTAATGTCTGCATCAACCGTAAGCTTACCATAAGCAGGCAAGATTTGGGGATTAAACGTAGGGGGTAGTGGATGAAGGCGAGGCGCCCAATTGTCTGAAGCAACGGAGCAGCCTGGCCATTCCCATTTGCCAGCTGAGCCCCTGCATCAATAATTGCCGACCGAACATGATGCTTTGCCAACCACTAGACGGACGGGAACGCACAGTGGCATAAGGAAGCTTCCATGCGGAAAATATTTCCCCTTATACATATGTGTAAGTAGAGAGTTGGGATCAATCTATATGCGCCAGCCATTAATCTTGGCTAGGAGCGCCTGATTGAAATGTTCGAAGCGGCGAAACCTCATCCCACCCTCATGTTTACTTCTACACATATTTCGCCAGGACATCCAATGTATTTTTGACTGCCCGTTCTCCACCCCCACTAAAACCTAGCAACGTTTTTATCCAGGAGGCGGCAGAGTGAGAGTGGGAGCTTAAAGCAGGACATAACATGTAATGACAAGGCCAGAGCAACAGACTTTATCAAGGTCTCCTTCGCTGCCCAAGATAGAGTTCGTTGTTTCCATCCCTAAAGTCGATCTAGCAACTTCTCCTCCAAAGAGCGAAACGTCTCCATTTTAGATTGAGCTATCAGAGTAGGCAATCCCAAATACTTATCGTGGACACCCACAACCCCCACTCCCAGGATCTGGCTCAGAAACTCTTGGTCAGGCACAACGATATTCTTGCTAAAGCAAACCGCTGATTTTGCAAAGTTAACCCGTTGGCCACTAAGTTGTAAACTATCTTATTCGTTTATGTGAAGAGAGAAGCGAGGGAGGAAAGCGATGTGCGAGGGAGGAGGAAGAGGGCTAGACAGAGAAAATTTGTTGGTATTTTTATTGTGAAATTTAAACTTAAAGTTGACTTAATTTTTAAATTTCAAAACTATCTCTAATTAATATCTAATTATCTATCGTTGGATAATGATTATTAATGAGGTTAGTATGTTATCTTTTCGGCTTGAGATATTGGTTACTGACCTATGAGTAACTAAATCTGTACTTTTAGATCTAAGTGGCCCAGAAAATCGAGATCTAAGGGTTGTGAATTAAATGCATTTTATTTTCCCTAGTTTTCTTAATTGGCTCTTATCTTTTTCGTTCAGACTCGGATTTTAATTTTTTTACACAGATGGAACGAGTTCATTGTGTTCTACAAAATGAAATCAATTGTCAATATATTTCGAGAAACTTTTTTTCATACCTCCAGTTACCAACTACATACCATATGGTAACTTCTTCGTTTTTAAGTCATTTTCGAAAACGTTTGCTCAGAATGAACGAGTTCATCATGATCTATTGGATCTACAAATTTCGGGGTGAAAAAAATACAAGACCAAAAATTACCATACTTTACCACTATGGTATGTGGGTGGTAACTTGTGGTAAACAATGATGAAAGTCGTAAATGACAGTTAGTGTACTCCTACTATTATGAATTCAACTTTCCTATTATATTGGTATGTTCATACCATCATGGTACGCTTTCATACCATATGGTACGCTTTCATATCATATGGTATTAAATAGGAGCATACCATACGGTATTGACTGGTAAAAAATGACTCAATTTTTTGTTCTGAAAATATATCAAAGTGGATATCATTTTAAAGAGCACAATTAATCTGATTTATCTATGCAAAAGAATTTAAATTTCGACTTAAAACGAGAGAGAAATCGTTCGTTAAAGATTAAAGTGGAAAAGATAAAAGACTTTCCATGAGAGAGATGCTAATGTCATACTGACATGAACGAGTTACTCATGATTACTCACCATAAGGTTACTGACCTCATCGGCTCCCCCTCTTTTCTACTTCTAAGCAAAAAAAAAATTATGAATATATAATATGAACAATTAAATGTGGCCCAAAATTCTTAAAATTAATCTGAAATAAAATGATTTATCAAGACATCTTTTTGAGTTTTCTCAAACCATAATATAAGGCACGTGTTTCAATTTTTTAGAAATTAAGGATGGGAATAGAAAATTTGTTGAAATATAAAAATATCGACTAAATATCTTCACATATAATTGACAAACTATAGAACGTTCACATCATTTTTAATAGTTAATACTAATAATTGGCTTGATAGAGGAGGCTTATGAGAGGCCACTAGCTAATGATGCAATTAATGCTTAACTTCATGAATATCTATGTTTTTTATTATCGAGAAACCTCAGTCTCATGAGCTATTTTGTGACAACGGGTCCTACTAAATCTATGGGCCACCTGCAATCAAATTCGACGCCAACTGGGCTTCGCCGCCAGTAGCCTTCTCTTTGAAAAAGAATGCAAAAAACTAGTTTTGGATTTTAGCAGAGTTTTTGGTACCGGAAAAACGTATGTCAAAACCAGAGGGGGGGATGAGTTATTTATTGAAAATGAAGGGGTGCGTACGAAGGGAGACGACTCTTCATATGAGTGGTTACACACCAACCAGCACATTGGTTCATTTAAAATAATGAATAATTGCATCGGTTCGGCCCATGATAGTTGGACCGGTTTGGTTATTCCAACCGCCACATCCGTTCAGTTCGATTTGGTTCAACTCGGTTTGGTCTGGTTGGTTAAACAAACCAATATTACCGATTACCAACATTTTACATCAAATCGACTGAATTCGCGGCCAAGCCTTCCCACAGCTTACCAACATGGTACTTCAAGAGATTCTCTTGGATCTTTCCCCTTCCATTTTCATTCACACCATTAAAAATCCCAACAATTAATCCAATAACCATGTTTGATTAATGAAGAAGCTAACCTTTAGCATGATTATCAAACCACTATCAAACGGGTTGGCACTCGGCAGTGGTGTAACTTGTAGATAGGAGGGGTTGTAGGCTTGTAACCCTCAAGTTTGAAATATATGTAAAATTACATGTAATATTTGTACAAATTTAGAAATTAGAATAGTTAGTGAGCTTTTAGCCCCTTTCCGCAATTACCACAATTCAAATCATTTTCTCCCTCGTTCAAATTTCTGACTCCGTTACTATCGGTCAGTTGGACCATATCTGACCAAAACCTGTCTCTAGCAAGTCAGTTTTGAGTGTTAGCTGGTTGCCCGTCAAAATTGGGAAAATCGATGGTAGGGCCACATTTTATAGGTTTCGTCTTCGATGCACTCACTTTTTTGGGTGCGCACAATGTATTTGCCTCGTAATCGTCATTTTGAGTAGACAATTCACATAAAAACAATGTCAACCGTCACTTGTGATATGATGGACAAGGAACTACATGAATTCTCACAAAAATCATTCAAAAGTTTTTTATCTGAAGAATTTAGAGTTTAGGGATTTAGAGTTTACAATTTGGGGTTTAGGGTTAAGGTTCAGGGTAATGCATTGATTAGTTAAGATCCAATGTTATATTATCATATTAGAGTGATGTTATAAATTAAAACAAAAATTCGATGTATTAAGCCTACTTTTAGAATTGGGTGCATCGTATGCATTCATTTTTGTGAGTGCACCAAAATATCCATGCTTATTTGTATATATATATAGAAAATGTATAAAATGACTCATACAGATTGGACCCCATCAGAACATTAAACATCAAATCACTTGCTATCACGGCTCAACAACTTAACCGATTTGATAACGTTAAGCAAAATTGGTTCCTTTATATGCTCATATTACATAATATTTTTTCCTTGAATCAACACCATAATATTAGCTAATAACCACAACCCTAAATTCCAAGCTTTTCACAAACATCACCTCCTATAAAAGACGCATCAATCTTATAAAAAGCTACAACTCCAAGAACTACCAAAGCAAGAAACTTTGCAGTCCCTTTCATGATCGGTCCCTCCTCATTAACAGCTCCCTCCAGCATCATATCTCACAAACCCCATCAGCTCCGGTCCTTCTAGCCTCGAGTTGTTCATATAACTGCCCAAAATCCAAAGTCGAAAGGTAAAGAACTAGGCATTTGGGTAAAAAAACCCAAAAAGAAAGCTGCTGTAAATGTAAAAAAAAGCATTGGTAAATTACTGAACCTTTCCTCAGTGAACTTGGAGAAGGATCCTGCAGTTGGGATTGTCCCACACAAGTCATTGTTCGACACATCACTGCAGTGAACCAACCCACAGTAAGAAAAAGGTGAAAGCTTCGATTAACCCAACTGAAAATTTCTTCTACTGATGTCGAACTTTCATGCTTACAGTATCTTAAGGCTTCCAAGCTTGGTAAGTTCCCTGGGAATCCTTCCACTCAATCTGTTCCCATTCAGCCTTCTGCACAAACATCAACTTAAATTCAGAAATGAACACATAAAAGAGATTTTGAGCGAGAGACAGAGAGAGGGAGAGAGCGAGCTTTACAGGAACTTGAGATTGGAGAGCTTAGAGAGGGAGGAAGGGATGGATCCAGTTAAATTATTGTGGTAGAGATCCAAGCTCAATAAGCTCTTGAGGTTTCCAAGCTCCTTTGGTATGGGTCCCGCCAGCTCATTCATGTACAGCTCCCTATTAATTACACACAAAGTACAATTAAGGTCTTGTCAATGTCATACAGTAGTACTAGTACACCATCATCTTTATATTAAATCTCCCTCCCTGACTTCTTCGCCAATGCAATTGATTACAGAGGAAGTGGAAAAGTGAAAAGACAGAGAAGGGAAGGACGAAGGAAACTACTTACAGGTATTGAAGTCTCTCCAATTTCCCCAGTTCTGGAACTAGCCTTCCTGACAGCTTCGCATTCCCAAGGTCCCTGCCGACCCCAAAAGTTTTCATTTTTGGACTATGTTAATTTAATGAACTAGTCATAATAATAAAAAATTAATCAATTGTTCCTCTGGAACTAAAACAGAGCTCTGTGAAGAAGAAGACGAAGAAGAAGAAGAAGAAGAAGAAGAAGAAGACTTACAGGCGGGTGATTCGGTTGTCGGAGTCGCAGGTGACGTGGAACCAAGTACAAGGATCGACCAGGGTTGGATCCCAGCTCTGGAGGACGAGGCCTGGGTCCTTCACCGCTCTTCTCAGAGCGAACAGAGCATCCCCTGTTTTAGTACGAAGTAATTTTAATTTAACAAAGCTTATGACACGAGATGGGGAAAAGGGGGAAATGGGGAGAAGAGAGAGTGAAAATCGGGTGAGTAAGATGAAGGAGGAGGAGCTAACCTTCCACGTTTGCTGTTGCCGGTTGTACAATGATTGGTAGGACTACAAGGAGTAGATGGAAGAAGGTGCAGATCGCCATGGATGAACTTCTGCAATAGAGAGAGAGAGAGAGAGAGAGAGAGAGAGAGAGGTGGGAAAAGGGATTAGTGGGTTGTGATGGGAGGAGAATGAGTATGGTGTTATGGTATGGAAGGAAAGAATCAATGGAAGCAAGTGATGGAGGAACTTTATAGACCCAATAAAAAGGAAAAGGCGAAAGAAAACAACTTTTGTGTTTTGTTTTGGGGTTTATGAGAGGAAAAGGTGGGGAAAAAGAAAAGAGATGGTGTCTTATGTTCTATTGTTCTGACTCTGCCTCTCTCTCTCTCTCTCTCTCTCTCTCTCTCTCTCTCTCTCTCTCTCTCTCTCTCTCTCTCTCTCTCTCTCTCTCTCTCTCTCTCTCTCTCTCTCTCTCTCTCTCTCTCTCTCTCTCCCTTTCTTTTTTAAAGTGTTATAACATTTTTCTTGTTTGAAGCTGCTTTCTTTCTTCTAGGTTCAAATTGGGGTTTAGCACTTGGCACTCTTTAGTCTTCACTGTTGGGGCCAAGATTTCCATTGGGTCGTGCTGCTTCTGTAACTGTAAGAGATGCTCTTACTTTCAACGCTTGCTGGCGTTGGCCATGTTCATTTTTGCAGAAACGAAGAAGGAAGAGTGTAACAGAAAGTGGTGAAAAACGTGACAGAGAGAGGTCAGTAGTCCCTGCTCTGTTCAGGACCTCTCTTTCTGCCACCAGCCAGCCCCACTCTGACTCTACTCCCTCTGCTTTGCTTCAGGACCATCATTTCATTTGTGTTTCCTCCCCTCCCCTCTGCTTATAATTAATTATATGGACTCTTAGCTTGTTCAGTGAATCTAATTGAACTGTCGCCGGAGATGCAAGTCCTCTGTTTCTGTTTTGATCTCTTTCTAGAAACAGAGAGGGTCTTATAGTGATTGATGCATTGATCAGATGGATACAAATTAAGGTTTGAATTTTGTCATTTTATGAACCACAAGTATGTAATCGCATACTTGTGTTTGTCCCAAGAATGCATAATTAGGGATTTGTATTGGATGGATTGCAAGAAAGAACACTAAACTAATACAAATTACAATTAATTAACGTTGTTTTTCCCCCCTTCTTATTATGCATGTCGAGAGATGTTTGTTTGTTTGTTTGGCAGGGCAATAGAGGGTACGTACGTAGAGATTAGACATACACGAGAATATTTGCGACTGAGATGAGTTGTCGTATTGGGGGAGTTTACTAGTTTGTTTCCCCAATGCGATGCTCCTCTGTGCAAGCCACTGTGATACAATTGCTTTGACTCTATAGTATTATAGTTAATCCTATATATCTTACAGGTTCCGAGAGTGGAAATGGAGGAATAATTATGAATGTAAGTGGACAAGGAAACGTACAAGCACAAGAGAATAATTATGTGCGCTTCGATACCTGAGGTACTCTGTCCCCTACTATACCTACCTACCTAGCTAGCTAAGCTTTTCGGCCAGTTTGCTGTAAAGTTGCATGGAAATTTCATATATATACTTTAAATTTTAATTTTTAATTATATATATATATATATATATATATATATGATAGCTCGATGTCGTCGAAAGGATAGAACTTCATAGTAGGGATGACCATGGGTAGAATGGGGTGTGGGTTATCCTGTATCAACTCCTAACCCACTGGGTAGAGCCTCCTAAAATACCCGACCAAATAACCATCAGGTATGGAAATGATATAACCATACCCTACCCATCGGGTAACCAACGGTATTCGGGTAACCATGGGTACGAATTCTAAAATATGAACTTATACACATATATGCACATACATACTGTTGTCCATTAAAAATTTTCAATACTTGTAACTGTTCTAACTTCAACAACTACAAATAAAAACAGCAAACGCATAATAGTTGTTCTTGCTTCTACAATCCACAAACAAAAACACAATACATCATATTTGTTCTAGCTTCAACTATCCACACATAAACAAAAATAGCAAAGACAATAAGTCTTGGTTTTTCGGCAGAAATATTTTGTGAAGAGCAAAAACATTAAGTCCCTGGGAATATTGCATCTTGTCTCTCCTCCATATGCCCAACATTAGTTCCCTTCAACGACAATATAAAAAGACAATCAACATATAAAACAGAGGAAACACAACTTATACAAACATTTAATTTGGAGTATATATATTACCGGTAACACACAAAACATCGTAAACATCTTCATCATCAATAATGGTAGCTAAACTCAATTTCTCAAGTGAACTTAGATCATCTACTGACACGCTACGACACAACACCAAACTGCGACCAAGTATAATCGCAGAGTGGAAATGCAGAATAGTGGTTAAGTCTAATTATCGACCCAGTCTCTAGATCTACTACATACTCAGTGAACTCCTATTATCTAGCAGGACTAAGAGAGTGTAGTGATTTCAGTGCAAAAGAAACAAAAAACAAGTAATGGTCTAGGTCTTTTCAGGTTCAAAAGGTCATCCAGGTATGGTTCCCCCTAGTGTGCTTGCAGCTAGTTCAGGCTATACGGTCTCAAATTACTCAGATTGATAGATAAACCGCGGAAAGTTCTTTACTGGTCTGGACTCTCGACTAAAGTTATCCAGACCCTCTTAGTTCGAATACCCGGCATGCGACTAATCTCCACCAGCATACACTAACCAAGGTTAAACACGCGAAACTTTCACTACTGGCCTTTGTTCCAGTACGGAGCAGTGAATTGACTTCTAGACTAAAGTAGTCGATTCACCACTTTCAATTAAAGCTTGCTCTTTTAACCTATGCACAGACTATCGTTCTAGGTTAAAGCTGGAACTACACATGTTTGATCAAGACTCATGTAATTATTAATAATTCCTCAACTGAATTTATCAAATCAATCATTCATAACATGAGGTTGATACAATCATTCCTATCATACACAGCTAGGGTTCTTCATACCTAGATGAAATGGAAAATTACTCAATGGAGAGATGTGAGAACGTCATGCTCGGAGTAGACATCTTCAGAACGACAATGGACAACTTCTTTGCTTTGTCAATCTCTCTCTCTCTCTCTATGGTTCTTTTTCTGCCTTTGGAAGTCCAAAAATTCGGATCCTTTGCAAATTTCCCGAGCAGACTTTAAATAGGTTGAGAATCCATGAGTTACGGCCTAAGTTATGGACGTAACCTTGCTCGCCTGCCCGTAACTTCCCATAAATGGTGTCGTTGTGGCACTCTGTAAACCAAGAGTTACGGCTTCCTTTGGGGAGTTACGGCCTCAACCGTAACTTGAAGAGGGAGACCGTAACTTGAAAAACGTCTCTGGAACTTTTGTATTCGGCTAACCGGGAGTTACGAGCACAGAGGATGAGTTACGACCATAACCGTAACTTGGAAGATCTGCCCGTAACTCCAAAAAGTCTTCTGGAACTTTTCATCCATCACTCGCCAGTTACGGCTCCTCGAGGGAAGTTACGGGCCAAACCGTAACTTGCAAGGTCTGGCCGTAACTCCCAGGTTCTCACTGCCCACTCGCTCCAGAATGTCCCGAAACTTCGCTCCTTCGCACCCATTCACGTAAAGTCCTGAAACATCATAAACGAACATAACCTAGTGTAAAATAGGCCACGAGAGCGATAAACCAAGCTCAAATGGTCGAGAAATGACGAGAAATACATGTTCGAATATTGCATTATCAAATTCCCCCACACTTAACCGTTTGCTTGTCCCCAAGCAAACCCAACTCAAACCAATGCAGCTCTCCAGACCTATATAGTAACATGCAACCCCGATCGTCGCTAGAGGATTTCCTAGATAAATTAGCAACTTACGAGGTCAACTTGTCTTCTAAGATGTCCCCTATCTCTCTCAATGCGAGTACTAGACTCAAGCCATGATCATGAGACACAATGGAACTAAGACAGTAATTCATGGATAAAGAGACTCACAAATTTAACAACAAAGGACTCTTCCATCCCATTTCATTCGTTGGAACCCCCTTTTTCATACTTTTATTTTTCTCCTTCACACTTTGCTGGGGTTTCAAACTGCAATTTTATGCTCGGTCGACCCTTATTGATCGAGCAAGAGCAATTTCTGTACATCTGTCACTCGCCAGAGTACTTTTTAAACTCATTTTCCTCGACTCGTGAGGAGGGTCAATAAAATTAATGGGGTTCAGAAACTCTACACGTGCCCTTAAAAACACATTCTCGAGTAGGCAAACCGTTCAATGGGTACTTATACTAGAGACAGCTTAGCTTCACTTTGTAGGCCTAACCCACTAAGGATCACTAAAATCTCTTCCAAAACCCGATTTTGTGCAATGAATGGTGCCACACACGTTGGCCTTACCCCATGTTCAAAGTTTCAAATTTTTCCGACATGGGGGACCAACTGCTTTTTTCATTCAATTGAGCACCATCTATTATACATGAGTCCACAACACAGCATAGAGGGAGTTATCCATACCACATGAATCAAGGGTCCTAAATCCATTAGTTCACAAAATCAACCAGCATAGCAAGGAGACAGATAGGAAAAATTTTATACTTCAACATCCTCCATAGTGCTACAACTATCTCCCTAGGTTGCACATAACCATAAAGACTGTTAATTCAAATAATACTGAGCATGTTATTGCACAGAACAGTACTTGGAGCACTCAAATCGTGAAATTTGGACAGTGGACTAGTTCCAAGCACACAAACATATCATGCAGTCAAAGATAAACATCCCCCCACACAAAAGCACGACATTCCCCTCGTTGGAGAAGAGGGAAAGATAAGGGGAACGATGTTATCGAGAAAACGGACTGTAGTGGGACTGGAAATAAGACCAGTCGTTTGGAGCAGACTAGAGATGGACCAGATTCTGAGAACAACCAAAAGTTAACACAAACACTCATACTGGGTAAGAGTTAGGAACATTAGTGTCAGCCCCATGGGACACAATAAAAAAAACATAACAATATCATGTTCGACTCAAATCACAAAAACAAAAACACAGAACACATGAAACATGGAACTCGCGATCAAGCATCAATCCTCTTTGTCATCGTCGTCTTGAGGCGGGGACGGATGCCAGAAGGTCTGAGTAAAGTCCACATCAGCCTCCGAGCATAGGTGCTCCAGCAGGAAGTGGGAGTAGTGCCTGCCGTCACGCTCACGATCTAGGCACGCATCGATGCGATCGAAACGAGCCTCCATGGCGGCCTAGTGGCCGCCAGCTGGTGTAGCTGAAAAGGTTTCTACACCAGGATAACCGGGAAAGAACTACAGTGGGTCCTAGACAGGTGGAGGCTGGGGAGGCTCGACAGCGCCGCCTCATCGAACTCGGCCG